GACATCTCCCTATTTGGATAGTTGATGCTATCAACCATTGTCCTAGTAGAAAATTTATTCATAAGGAGCCTCATATCTTGGATCTCCTCTCATTTCTCGCACAAGAATTTCATCCTCAGTCCTACTTAAATCTCCAGGTTCTTGCCAATCGACCTGTGGCTTTCCTTCAGCAGCTCTCAAGCACTAGGGTAATTACCATGTATTGCTTCCTTGCCCTTCCTAATCCATGCTCAGACTTTTTAAAAATCTACATTTCTTTTTCTGTGCCTCCTTCCTCATTTAAAAAAAAAAGAAGAATCTATATATCCATCAGAGGACAAGAAGTTGGATTAAATTTCCATTGCTCACTCTAGTTTACCTGTGTCTACTACATAACTAAGTTGAATAAATTTGATCTTACATCCCACAACCATTCCTCATTCCAAACCATCACTCTTTTTGTCCTCTTTTATAATAGTTTCTTTCCTATTATTTCATCTTATATGAAAATGCCTGTGGGCTTACAATAGTGATAATAATAGTGTCTAGTCCAAAAGAGTAGTTCTTCATTCAGGTAAAAAAAAAAAGATAAATAAAAAATGAGCTACCAAGCACTGATGACTCATGCCTTTAATCCTAACTATTTGAGAAGAATGGGAGGATTATGGGTCAGGGCAACCCTGAGCAGAAAAGTTTGGAAGAGCCCTTCTTAACCCATAGATGAGAGGAGATGTATACATCTATCATCATAAGCTACTTGGGAGGCTGCAATTGGCAGCATCTCAGAGCCATCGAGTCTTCCACCTAACTCCAAGACCATCCTTAATAGGTCAAAGAGCCCTCTCTGCAACCATCTTAGGGACAGGGCAAAATTTTAGATATCCTTGCTGTCCTCTTTTCCTAGATACTATGACCACAGTGTAGGAGAAGAAGGCTAGAATGTCACCCGTTCCCAGATTCCACTCAAGAAACACAGCTTGTTGTAAGTGCATGCCTGCACCCTCAAGCATGGTTGTGGAATCCCTCATTTTCCCTTCCTCTAATCTTACCTAGTTTAAGCAGGTAGCCCCCTCTCTCTGGCCAGCATTAGTCTATGTTTCTTGCCTAAGACCTTGTTTTATGCTTCATTTTTCCAGAATTCTTTTTTTGTGACAATAATTTTCTTACAAATCCCAAACATTAATCTCTTCAACTACAGTCCTTTGCCTTGAGTGTCAAATATATAATCGAGAATTTGAAACTGAACATTGATTTCTGGGTTAAATTGCTTATTTTTAGTCTTTGCATTGCTTTTATAATAATCATATACTGAGAAGAGTGGGTACCTTTTTCTGTTGCCTAACTGAGGAAAACTTTTGGGACAGAAGATGTCATGGGAAAGACCAAGGAAACATGCACAGATTAGTATTTTGGACTACTATTTCATTGAACTACAGAAATATTTTTTTATTTTTTTACTTCAAAATAAACATGACATTAAAGTAGCAATCATTTTCCCACTTAATATAGATAAATGAAAATAAATATTTACTACTAATTTAACAACAAATCTGTTCATGACACACTGGCCCCTCTACTTTAGGACTGATTTTGGACATTATGCTGTGGATCCCTATTAAAGGCAATAATATTGACAGAAACATTTATTGAATGTATTTCATCTGGGAAAATTGTACCCAGTAAAATCCAAATCCAAATTTGACCTGACCGCCTTACTGACCTGGGTGGAAACAAATGGAACTACAAGAATACTCTGGATATCAGTCACAGCCTGGGTAGCCTTTGTCTGTTGAGGAGATCCTTGTGATTTGCACTCATCAAAGATTGCTGAAAATCCTAATTCACATTAGGCCAGTCCTACCCAGACTGCCAGACTCTAGGGTTTCAAAGTGGTTTGTTCCCATCTTTTCACAGTTTTCTTTATCTTTCAGGTTACATCCCTCTATTCCAGTTTCCAGAACCAGGTGACCCAAGTCATATTTTTGTCTTTTATTCTAACAGAAAACATGGTGGAAAACAATGGTGCCTACAATGTGTCAACTCATTTCTGCCATATTTGTGAGTATGTTTCCCTTTGGTTTTAGTCTAACTGTCAAGGAATCATTGGGTGTACTAATATACTAATGTAATGTACTAGTAGTAGTACACTAGTAGTAATGTACTAATTACTCTTGCCCTTATATTCTGTCAAGTGAGATTTTTCTTTTTTTCTTCTTCTTCTTGTAAGACAGAACAGAGGAGGCAGCACTGGACAATGACTCACTCTACTTTGAACCTCAGCTGGACCTTTAGAGCCACTGGAGCTGACCAAGAGCCATGATTAGACTCTCTTCTTTTGGCTACTGTTAAAAGCACTAACCTCATGTTCCTTACAGTTTATATGCCATGATTTGACACTGGTAGATGACGATTGCATTCACAATTTTATTTTCATGACTAAAGCTGCCATGAACATCTTTATAGAGTACTTTTCTCTTTTGTGGAATTTTTTTCCATGTGATAAATTCCTATAAATGAGATTATTAAAACTATTACAAATGATAATTTTATAAAAATGAGACTTAGGACAAATCACTGTTAAGACAAAGTGTTTGCCTTGAAAACAGTAATAACTGTGGTCTGGTCTTGGAAAAAAATATACCCAAATGAAAATTGCATCAATGTTTCAATGTTTATGAAGTACTGTTAAATTTTGATGAGATTTTCTTTTTGTAAAGAGGACTGACATTTTTTTTTCGTGGGGCTTGAGCTCTGGGCCTAGGCGCTGTCCCTCAGCTCTTCAGCTCAAGGCTAGCGCTCTACCACTTGAGCCACAGTGCCACTTCCGGCTTTTTTTTTTCTTTTTGCTTATGTGGTGCTAGGAAATCGAACCCAGGGCCTCATGCATGCAAGGCAAGCGCTCTACCACTGAGCCACCTTCCCAGACCAGGACTGACATTTCTTAAGGATAAGAGCAGATTAGTGTCTCATTAAAAATTATTCTTATTCCTTAAAAAGCATATAGAAAAAGAATGACTTTTCTTCACAGCCTTATTGTAGCTTTTAAATTATATATAAACTACACTTGCATTGTTTGCTGGGGGGGTTCAGTGTTTGAAGAGTATCTACAGAACAGTAACAAAAAGAAACGGTATCCTGTTTTACTGGACTATTCTTTATCATGAGCATATATATTTGGGAGATTGTAATAATGGCTAATCTACTATGTAACTAGATAAATAGTAATATTTTCCTATTTAGTCCTTGTTCAACCAAATTTTAACTTACCATATAAATGATATAAATTCAAGAAGAAGGATAAATGGAAATATGGAAACATTAAAGTGCTATCGTTTTATGTGGACAAGTGAATAAAGTATTTCCTTTATTTGTAAAATAAACTTAAAAATGGCTCAGTCACTAATATGTTCTAATTGTTACTTTAAATGGAAACTTGAAAAAACGTTTGTTTTTTTTCTTTTTATTGTTTTCAGTGTCATTATCTCACATTATCCTTCCTTCAATAATTAGGTAGCCTACAGTGGTCAATGAGAACTTTTTCTTCACAGTTAAAATCATGAGAAACTTTATACAAAGCAGATACTATTTTTAATAAAAATCAGTGTGCCTAACTGACTAACTCTGAAGTTACAATATGAAACTAGAATTGTGAATTAGATTATTTGTGTCTATGGGGTGTTTTTTCATATTTTTCTTCTTTAAAATTTGTTTTGGCTGAGTCTGCTGAGAAACACAGAGAAAGAGAAAAATAGTTTCCTACTTTCATAAGATTCAACAGGAGAATATACAAGGAAAGGTTATAAGAAAAAAAGTAATTGAATTTCTCTATCAACTTGTATTTGCTAATCTGGAAGGGAGTTTTGCAAATAGGGCACTCATTAAAAATTTTATATGGTGAATTCAGGAAGTTTGATCCTGAGAACAGCAGTGAAAGTTTTATAGACCACCCTGGGTGGCATAGCCTTGAGCAGAACCGTAGTATAGAGAGGCCATTTCTCCTTCATGTATTCATCTAGCCATTCAATGTACACTCAGTTATTACTTAACTTTAAGTAAATATATCAAGTCATTGTTGTCTTCTCAGGAGTTAAGAGAAGGAAAACTTGGTCAAGTAATTTAAGCAAATAAATCACTCTTCATATTCTTACAGAAATGTGGATGTTAATGAATGTCAGACTTGGGACAGGAGAACACAAAATGAATTAAGTACTTGATAGAGCTTTCTTTCTATTAAATTTCTTCAAAATATGTGAGAACATCCGTGGAATATCAGAAAGACATTGTTTCTCTCTTTCTGTCTGTCTCTCCTCATACATACACAGAGCCGACTCATCATCCAGATTTTAAATTTTTATTTATGTATTGATTTATTTTGCCAGTCCTGGGGCTTGAACTCGGGGACCTAGGCACTGTCCCTGAGCTTCTTTTGCTCAAAGCTAGCACTCTACCACTTGAGAGCCAAAGCACTACTTCTGGCTTTTTCTGTTTATGTAGTACTGAGGAAGTGAACCTAGGATTCATATATGCTAGGCAAGTACTCTGCCACTAAGCTACATTCCCAGCCCACCATCCATATTTTTAAAGTAAAAATTAAAATATATAGTATTGACAAGAATAATCTAATTCATTTTTCTACTGTAATTTCAGAATGAAACAAAATAGAGGCTCAAAATACCATCTGCCTTAGCCTATGTTAAATACCAAAACATTCAAGATTAGAATCTTCCCTATGCTGTACTAACTATAGATCCTCAATATTGCTGCCACTTTTGGATACAGGAAAAAGAATGCAAGTCAGGTATTTATTGAGCACTGCTTTTTGTTAGAGGCTTAGCTGAGGATTTAAAATTTGTAAAAAGCATTTAAAATTTTTTAATTCAATGGGCAATAGAACAAAATACCTTAGAACATAGAACCTGCTCTATTAATAGCTAAAAACTTTTCTCCCTCTGATAATGTTTTCCTAGTATTTTAAGAAAAAATTCAAATATGTGGGTTTCATTTGCATCTGATGTTTTAATTCCATAAATCAAAGCCATTAGTTCATGTTCTGGTGATTTTGTTACCTTCATGTCAGTCTCCTTCCAAGCTTCATTCACAGGGTTCTATTATATATATATATATATATATAGGTTTACCACAATGTCAGGCTCAGTGCACAATATTCGTAAAGCTTTGTGTACTCATCTCTGGCAAGACTTCTGAGATTGAAATTAATAGCCAGTAACTACAATCTCTTACATTTCCCACCAATCTAAGTCATTTGTAAGATTAAACACTGTCACATGAGCATTTATTGATATTTCTCCTGATTTATATTTTTAATAGTTGCATAATGGAAATGCTTGTGATGAGTGTTTTTTATTTTTAAGGTCACTTGGTCCTTTCATATTGTAAGACTCTGATACTGTTTGATCCTTCTGTTTTAACTGGCTTTCTCCAGCAGGATGAGGGAGTCTGTGGCAGTGCCAAATGGAAGCAGGAGCCTCCTACTTCCAAATCTCTTCTTCCTGCCAAGAAGAAAGGTATTCTGGCTCCCTGCACCATCTCCATTCACATTGTGGAGGGAGAGTCACTGGGGAAGGGGTGTCAACAGGATAGCAAGGTCTTTGCCCAGAACTCCTCTTGATTCAAAAAGAAAATAGGATCACATTCTGCTTCTGAAAAGCATTCATTTAAGAGGTGTGTTATTGTAAAAGGGAGTACCTGTTTTATAGGCAGAGATTTCAAAATGGCAGGAAGTTCAAGCTCCACTTGGCTTTCTAATCCTAGAAGGGGGCTGAGGGACTGCCTTGCAAAACCCTGGCAAGTAGAGAACTCTAGGATCCCACTCTGCTGGCGGAAATGGGGCTGAGACCATGGTCTCTGTGTTGTTTTGCCATTGGTAGATTGGTTACTGAATAAAGGCTTTTTGCCTTGCATGTCTCCCTGTTTTCTGGTCCGTTGGATAGACAGGTCAGAGTTTTGTTGGGGGACATTTTGTGTCTGGGCCTTAGATATTTCTGAGTTACTGCCTTTTACTGCCACAGGTCCAGGAAACCTGAGGCAAAGAAATCTGAAGGAACTCACCCTGGTATTATTCCTCAGTCAGTTTACTGCCATCTCCCTTTCTTCCAGTATCTTCCTATGCTCACTTTACATATCATGGCTCAGTTTTTGAGTTGTCCTTAGTGGAAAACAGGAAGAATATTTGCACTCCATCTTTCTAGAAACAGAAGTTGTCACTCGAAATCTTTCAACCAATCTTATTTTACCTAGAATATAATGAAAATATACCATTATGAAAAAAGCCATTTTACCTTCAAGTTCTGATTTTCAGTTGAAATATTTTGCTTTTAAGTGAGTTCTGGAAAGCCCATTCTTGGTAAGGTGGATACTTCCAACTTGGTCATGTCCAGGGGCCTGCCATGTAGTAAAGAAGCCAATCATTTTCTGCCAAACTTTACACAATAATCTGCCCCATCATGGTTCAGATATGATATTGTTTTTTTCTCTGGATAGCACTATGGACAAGCACAACTTACCCATAAACATCATCAAAGAGACACATTAAACTCTATCCCCTAGGACTTTGTGATTGGGATTTAGAGAGTATAACTTGTTAAAGACGCTTCTGAGTCTTCTACTTACAAGTAGAAGACTGAAGATCCTACCAGAGGGAAATCCTCCTGTAGAAGACTTCCAGTACAAGAATTGTAACAATCAAGTCTGGTTCTGGTGGCTTCCACCTGTAATCAAAATAGGCTGAGATCTGAGGATTAAGGTTCAAAGCTAGTCCAGAAAAAATTCCATGGAAGTTTTACCTTTAATTAGCCAGCAAAATGCCAGAAGTGGAGGTGTGACTCAAGTGATTGAATATCAACCTTGATTGAAAAATCTAAAGGAGAATGCTTTGGCCCTGAAAAAAAAAATCATCTTACATCTGAGTCATCTGTAGAGAAGGTTGCTGATGGGACAGCTAGTCAACAGCATGCCTACTGTGTTGTAGATTGTGAATCTCTGAGGATCCTAATATAGTACCTTTCTTTCCCACCTGATATCTATAAACATGCAATGAAACAAGGCAGTACCATATGGAGAACCAAAATATCAACTTCATTATTCATGAAACTAGATGGGAGGAAACAGCTTAGTTAAATGTATCCCAGAATTGTACACCTATGACAACTGGGACCAACTTCCTCAGGCAGAGAAAGTGCTCTGGAAAACAGAGAACAACTGAAAATCCTGTGAGCTGTGAGCTCCCCAGAGTAAGAAAGGAAGCTGAGCAGAGCATACCCAGATATTTACATTTCAAATTTACCCATCAAATAAATGACTCCCTTGGGGAAAGAGCTAATAAAGAGGTGAAGGGAGGTCAGGAGTTTCACTAATTACATTCCCTCTACATTGAGGAAACATCAAAAGTGGGGGAGAAACTTCCCATCCTATTCCAACAGTACATTAAAACTTTAAAAAGGAAAGGAAAGGAAAAAGGAAAGGAAAGGAAAGGAAAGGGAAAGGAAGAGCTCTACTTCACAGACACCTGAGCTGAGAAACATTTCCCAGAGATGTGCCAATGTGACATGACTAAATTCTCTAGAATACATTTTATTTGCACTGCACTCCTGACTTCACAAAATGATAGAGTAAAATTATGTTAGCAAAAACTGTGAAAGATGTAAGGAGAAGGAACTGGAGGAAAGGGAGGGGAGGGGAGGAGAAAGATAAGGACAAAGAAAGAGAGAGAATATGAAGGAAGAGCTGTAAGAGAAATAAGAACACAATGGAAAATGGAAGATGAGAAAGAGATCTAGAGAGGGAATGAAAAGGAAGAGCAGTAAGGGAAATAAAAACACAAAGGAAAATGAAAAAGGAAGAGAGAAATAAGAAACCAAGAAGAGTAATTAGTTTTAATAAGTAGATGCAAATAGTAATATGCTTTTTGCATATAGCTCCCTTGTGTTCAGCATCAAACGTCTGGAACCCTAACAGCTATCAATTTGTCTATCATCTACCTATCCATCCATCTACCTGCCTATTACCTACTTATTATATTTTTCTTGATTCTTCTCTGAGCAAAAACAGTCTTTGAGGGACTAGAGTTTGGAGTGAGGGAAATGAATTTCTAAGTCATACTCAGAAGGTTGAGCAGCACACAAGTTGTGATGATCATTACAAATGCAGTCCAGGGAAGTATTGGTGCAAGACTTTCCCCTTGTCTCAAGGCCATAGGGAAAGTTTCAAGGCCATAGGACAGGTGGAAGTAGACTGGGAGATTCCAGTGGCTAGGAATAGCAAGGTCCTTACCCAGAACTCTCCTTAGTTCAAAAGAAACAAGAGTAAGTTCATTTTTGAAAATAAAAAACGAAATGATGCATTTGGGTGCTGGATTGTTGGAAAAGGGAAAGCCTCTTGTACCTGACCTTGCTCCTTTTTTGTTATGCTAAGCAAAGAGTTGACAATGGCACATACTTCCCTTGACAGAGCTATTGGTGATCAGGGTGCATAGCATTCTGTCAGCTTTCTGACATTTCCACTAAGCCCAGAAACAATCAGGAACTTAAGTCTCTGTGACTCACAACTGGAAAATAAAGAGAATGAATGATAAGTCACTACTTACTTACTCACTACTTACACCCTACCACCATAGTGCATTGTCAATAAAACAAGTGCAAAGAGTTTGACTTGGGACTTTTTATTTTATTTGTGAACATACTGTACAGAGGAGTTACAATTACATGGGCAAGATAATGCGTACATTTCTTACCAAGCATTGCAGCCTCCTCCTTTGTTTACCCTTCACCTCCCTTCCCAGCCTCCCCCCTCCCCCCCACCCAATCCT